TGAGAGGGAAAAGCCAGGCATAGGTAGTGAGATTTCAACTTAATTGTTGAGGGTGTCTCTCTCTGCTTCTCATCCTGACTCATTACCTCCTTCTCCACCTTGTTTCTCCTACCACAGAACTCCTGGATGGGAGAGCTGGGGAAGGTCTGTACATCCCACAGTGGGGATGCAAGGTAGCAATGTGAGGTAGTATGGGCCTTTGCTATTGGAGAGCCAGAGGATGTACAGACTATCTTGTTCTGCACCACTAAGCCATTGCCAGTGCTGCAGACAGAAAAGGCCCAGGAGCATCGCTACTTCTCATCTACATCTTTTTGCACAAGGAGGTTAAAACAAATCTCCTTCTCAAATAGTTGTGCATATGTATTGGAAGTGAATTCAAAGCTAGCAAGGGAAGACAAAAGTAAGAACACAGCCAGGATAACTTGTGACTAATAATCACTGGCTTTTGACCCAGCTTTTATTTATAACAGATTCATGGGAAATCTTCTAGGATTGTTTCTAAACAATGAAAGTTAGTAAGCTTTAGAATTAAGACCTGCATAGCTGGACAAGGGAGGAAGATTAGATCATATACCAGGGAGTCTCAAAACTGGGAATTTGCTACAATCCCTTAATTCCTAAGCATAAAAAAAATGTTAATGACATAGTCTGAGTATGAAGTGAGTAAAGAAGTGAGATTTCCTAAAAGCTTGATGTTAAAGACCCTTTGCCCAGCACCTAGCTTCTATGGGAATGTAACGTACAGAGTTATCTTCTCAAGGTAGATCATAGAATCATAAAATCATAGAATCATAGAATAGTTTTGGTTGGAAGGGACCTTTAAAGGTGATGTAGACCAACACCCCTCCCCTGCCGTAAGCAGGGACACCTTCAACTGGATCAAGTTGCTCAGAGCCCCATCCAACCTGACCTTGAATGTTTCCAGGGATGGGGCATCTACCACCTCTCTGGGCAACCTGTTCCAGTGTTTCACCATCCTCATTGTAAAAAATTTCTTTCTTATATCTAGTCTGAATCCACCCTTTTTTAGTTTAAAACCAGTACCCCTTGTCCTACTAAAAAGTCTGTCCCCATCTTTCTTATAAGCACCCTTTAAGTACTGGAAGGCTGCAATAAGGTCTCCCTGGAGCCTTCTCTCTCCAGCTGAACAACCCCAACTGTCTCAGCCTGTCCTCTGATGATTTTTGTAACCCTCCTCTGGACCCGCTCCAACAGGTCCATGTCTTTCCTGTGCTGAGGACCCCAGAGCTGGATGCAGTACTCCAGGTGGGGTCTCACCAGAGCAGAGTAGAGGGGCAGAATGACCTCCCTCAACCTGCTGGCCACAGTTCTTTTGATGCTTCTTTTGACTATTTACATCTGTCACCTTAACAGACTGCAACAAGGTATTAGGTCCAGAATAGCTTTTAAAATATTTTTCCAATATTGAATGAATCAGATGATCTTTTGGGTTTATGCACAAGGGCAGTGATTATGCTGCTCGTGCAATTTGAACAGTGATGGAACTAATGAATCTACCACCCTCACCCTGAAAAGCTGTTCCAGAAATCAGTGCACATTAGAACTGATCAGCATGTCCACTGCCTTCCAGTGAATGCCTTGGCGTGCACTCTTGCTCTACCTAGTGGATTTGGAACCTATTGAAATGCCATTTTATAAACTTGGAATAACATTATTCTAATCCTGTGTTCATACCATTCTCATTATTATTTTTGGTGATGGTTTTGATGAAGATGATTGTTATTGTTGTGAACAAGAATACATGTGCTTGTTCTGGCTTTCAATATTTGGAAAAAAGAATGAATTCCTCAAATGTTGTTCTTCCCTGAAGAAAAATTATTTGGCATATATAAATGACACTGTTTCCTACCCCAGTTTATGGACAAAAGTTTGTATCTTTGAAAAGGACAATCAGAAGCCAGGACCAAAGCGTAATTTATTACTCACTTTCTGCCTACCAGTTAACTCTCTGTGATCAGGTATTTCACTGCAACATAGGTGACTCCTGAGAAAGTGATCTGGGAGGTGTATTCCACCCTCTAACTTCATAAGCCCAGGTGAACTGAACTCTCTGATTTTGGCCTCCTAATTCAGCCTGAAATTTCAAAAGCATGGCCATATGTTATCATTCACCTTTAACATTACAATTTACATTTTAGAGCACTCACCAGGAAACAGGGGGCATGGGTTCCATGCTGTACATCCTTCCTTAGTCTGAGGAGATTCACACTTTCCAAGAGACTGCTGCAATAACAAAGAGAAGCACCTTCCATCCTTCCTTTTAAAACTGGACCATTACACAGGAAGAAATGCAAGAGTCTGAAGTCACAGGGCAAGAGAAGTCCCAATTCTGTGGCCTAATGCATGGTTTCCCAAATGTCATTTGTTGGGTACCACTGTTGGAAGCAGCCTTCTGTATTCCCCCCAAGCCTAAATTCAGGATTGTAAACGTTATCACCTGAACATCATCACCATTTCCTCCCAATACTACCTCTGTTCCTCTTCCTGCAGTCCCACCATTCTGCTTTGCAGCCCCATCGCTCCTTAAGACCCCCAACCCATAGCTGAAAGCTCCACGTATTCCCCTCTATGCCTTCTCCTTCCCAAACTGGTTCTCCAGCCACAATGCCCCAGCCATCTAAGGCACATCCCTATCTCAACAACCCCATTCCCCTCACCTTTCCCAAATGACTTTTTTCCCATGGCCTTAGCAGAAACACATGTCCCAGACTAATTAATTTCCTGTAGGCACATGAGAAGAACAGCAGGGGAGGTCTGGGAGCTGGAGCCAGCTTCACGCATCAGTAAGTTCCTGGCCAGCCAGTGACAGGAGCAGCTGTGTGAAGGCTCTTACTCTGATATGTAAAAGATCCTGGACATAGGCAAAACCAGCAGTTGTTGAGACTGTTTTTGCTTGGTTTACGTGCAACACAGCGTGGGAACACCTAGCCTACTGATTCAGGCTTTCATCTGGCAAAGGGCAGGTTTTGTTCCAGTCCTTGATCCTTAGGTTGTGTCTGCTTCTTATCCATCAGCTTTGTGTAAAATGCATATGTAGACTTGGGCATGAACTCCCTGCCAGCAGCTCCCTGCTGGCTAAGCGCTTAAAGTTGTTCTTCTCAGCAGAAAGCTTTGTTGTCCCTGCTTTAAGTCCTATGAAAATCCGCAAGCTTTATTTGGGTACACTCGGTAGTACATCAGAGCAAACGTCGCTGTGAAGTTTGTGCTTGTAGCTATTGCACTGGAGTTATTATTTGCTGCTCTGCTGTAATATTAAGCATTCATCTGTTAATCTGCTCTTGGAGGCTGTTGTGCCTGACTGTACTGTAAGGCTTTATCAAATGACAGCAAAATTAATAGTTCAGTTTCTGCCAATTTGATTCAAGATGCTTAATATGAAAAGCAGAATATACATCACTGAAGAGAATTTTGGAGCATTATTTATTTTTCTCCGACTACAATATTTTCATGCTTTTTTTCTGCACTGCCATCGATACCAAGACAGTTTCTAATTTTCTGTTCTGTAAACCAGAAAAGATTCTTCATAAAGACTGTGTATGTGTATGTTTATGTGTATATGCTGGCCTTCTTCCCTGCCGAATAGATTTGACGATGCTGTATACCAGCTGATATATCATAAACTGCAAATAAATGTAATGGTTTGGGTTTTTAAATCAACTAGTCAATGCCAATCAGTATCACAGAGAAGGGAATGGGAACAACTATTTCTAGATTAATTCACTTTGCAACTTCTTTAACTCTGACTTTGAGAATGAATCTGAGTTTCACAGTGAAAAAAGGTAGATGGTATTTTACACAAATACTTTTCTGAATCCTCTACTCCATTTCTTCTTTTTCTCCCCACAGAAACCAGTGGACTCTGATTTCCTTGAATGCTTTAAATTAGCTCTGAAGGAATGGACAACTCCAACAAAAAAAACCCCAAAATCTTCTGAGAAGCCAGCGAAGGAACTAGAAAAAACAGCTTGACTTGCAGAATCTCACCTGACCCATGACTGACTCCCTGCGAATGCAATAGTAATTTAAGACGCCTTTGTATAGCAGCAGGTACTGCAACTCCTCCACATGTTACTGTTTGTACAGTGTTTTTTCTTTAGTCTCCCAGTATGTAGTGGAACAGGGAAATCCAACTGACATTCAGTTGTTTATGAGAACACCCAAATATTATATATAAAGCTTTAAACAATTTTCTTGCAAGATACTGCAACACAGTTCATTTCATATGACAGTCCAAGCCAAGCTTAAAAAAACTCAACCGGTTAGCAGCCCATTCACACTCCATCCATTCCCTGCAGGGCAGCTGCCTGATTTGACCTGACCGATTAGGGTGGTCACACATTTTTGTGCTATGGTCATCAGAGTTTCTAGCCAGGCACTGAAGCTTCAGCTCTCTTACTGGTATCCCTTCTGCAGGCTCAGCAAGTTTCTGCTGTGGTTATTCAGGTTGGAGATTCATTCACAACCATAAGAGCAAATTTCAAAATGAAATGAAGGTGTAAGCTTTGTCCTCACTAGAAAAGACTGCTCGTGCAGGCACATCCTCCTAGCACAGATATAACTCTCTGCAGCAAGAGGGCTTTTCTCTGCAAAGTTTATAGAGGTCCTAGAGGCAAAATAAACTATGCAAGCAAAGGGCTTTGCATTGAAAAATCCAGATTCTTTTTTTAACGTGTCAAAACTTGGTCCAAAAAAGCTGGTATTTGCCAGTTATACTATGTCAGTCTACAGGCTACTTGAAAGACATACAGTAACATATATGGTGACCAGAAGAAGGTCCAAGCTGACAGACTTTCCTTCTTGCCTCCTACATGGATTCTGGTAATGCAGAAATCCCAGGTTGTTCTCCTCATGCATACCTGTGTGTAATGCACTGCAGTGTCACACTTATTAGCATATTCAGAGACATCTGCATGTGACTAGAGTGCCATAATATGCATAAATAGTCTTATTCGTATGTATTTTTCCCAGATCCAAGGATGTTTGTGTTGCTTTACATTACAAGTTTTGCCATCTACACAAGCGAACAACCTCTTCAAAGCCAGTTCAAAGGAGAAAATTACTACACCAGATACATCTGTAGCATCCCTGGTTTGCCAGGCCCTGCGGGTCCCCCCGGAGCCAGCGGATCCCCCGGGCCACACGGACGCATTGGTCTTCCAGGAAGAGATGGTAGAGATGGCAGGAAGGGAGAAAAAGGTGAAAAAGGGAGTGCAGGTATTGAATACTTGTGTAACCTAACACATTAGTACAACAAAGTATAACCTTTCACTGTCACTGTTATGCATATATATATGTATGATAAATGTGTGTATGTGCCTGTGTGGGTTTAAGTGTGATGCATGTATATATAGTGAGAGAAAGAAAATATGCAGATATATTTTAGCTATGTCTTAATATGCGTATACTGAAATCTGTGTAAATAAATGTAAATGCATAGCCTTCCTGCGCATAGATGCTAAGAAATAGTTTGTGAAAAATGAAGCATGTGTGGTGTCAAATAAACAGTCTCATTTGTGCCATTAGCCAGGAATAAGAGATTAGCAAGTATTTAGGTACACACTAAAAATGCTCAAATAGTAGGAGATATTTGGTGCACAATTATCATTATATGGGTAGCCATGCTGTGGTCTTTTCCATCAGCAGTGCCCATAGTTCAGTCAGCAACGGACTGACTCCATATAAAATTTTTCAATGTGTAATCAAGACGTATGAAGAAAAGGAGGAATATAGAAACAAAGGACCTCTGGGCTGTGTACCCTGGTCCTCTGTTCCAACCTGCCATTCCTTTTGCAAGCTTACTAGAAGATTTTGAAAGTATTTTTGGAGTGTTTTGACATTCTGACTGTGTTTTTCTTGTTTGTTCAGGCACACACAATAGCCCACACAATCATTTACTGAGATGATATGTGCAACGATTAACTAACTTAAAATGTTTTTGAAGGTTTAAGAGGAAAGACTGGGCCATTAGGACCAGCTGGAGAGAAAGGAGACCAAGGTCAGTCTGGTAAAAAAGGACCTGGAGGATTGACTGGTGCCAAAGGTGAAGTAGGTCCAGCTGGACCACCTGGACCTAAGGGAGATAAAGGAGACCGAGGAGAGCCAGGTGCACCAGGGGTCTGTAAGTGTGGAAAGATAGTGCTGAAATCTGCCTTTTCTGTTGGCATCACCACCAGCTACCCAGAGGAAAGATTACCAATTGTATTCAATAAAGTCCTCTTCAATGAGGGGGAGCATTACAACCCTTCCACAGGGAAGTTTATTTGTGCCATCCCAGGGATTTATTATTTTTCTTATGATATCACCTTAGCAAACAAGCATCTTGCAATTGGGCTGGTTCACAATGGGAAGTACCGGATAAAGACATTTGATGCGAACACAGGCAACCACGATGTAGCTTCTGGATCCACAGTGATCTACCTTCAGCCAGAAGACGAAGTATGGCTTGAGATCTTCTACACTGACCAAAACGGTCTCTTTTCTGATCCAACGTGGGCAGACAGTTTGTTTTCTGGATTTCTCTTATACGTTGATACAGATTACCTTGACGCTTTATCGGATGAAGATGAGCTCTGAAGCAGATGATGGCAAATAATATTCAAACTGGACACCCCAGCACAGGGTTTTATCTAGCTGTGTAGGGGACACAAAGTTGAAAAAAAATAATCTGGGAGTATATTTTTGCTTTGATAGAAACCAAACCTGAGCTCATACAAATCCTTCTAGAATCTAAGCTGGATTTTTTACTGAACAGCAGGGATATCAAAAGGAACTGTAATTAAAAAAAGACTGCATCACTCCAGGACTGACTCCTCCTGAAAGTTATGTTTGTAATACTATTTAAACAAATTTAAGATACTGTACATTTGATTTTATATAAAATATATTAAGTTGCAATGTAGAACGGATATTTTGTATATGACATTAAAGTAAAATTGAACAACTGATGGCAATATCATCTTTGGTCATTTTAAGAGAGGAAATGCATTAAAAAAAGAGAAAACATTGATTTTAAAAAAGCAAAGGAATAAAATAGGAATGTCTGGTGCAGCTGAACAGGTCACCAGGACAGTCCCATCTGATATTTACACCAACAAATGATATTCATAATTAACTAACCTGAAGATTTGTACTAGCTGAGGACTGCCCACTGACAGCCATAAAAGAACAGAACAAAGTATTAAACATATAAAATAATTAAAAACTGGAGATCTGAAAACTTGGAGATACACAATCAGTATTCAGTATGGGTATTTTCAGTGTATTTCCGAGTGGGTTTGCTGTTCTTTCAATGCTATTCAGTATCTTTATGAGAAATGCCGAAGAAAATAGACACTTTTTGCTGCAGAAAATTGTGGATGCCGAAAAACTGATAGAACAGTAACCAATAATGAGAATAAATTATATGGAACAAACTGAGTCACATCATTAAAGCAGACTTACTGATATTCCAATATGGCAAATGCAATGAAACAAATGTACGTCACACACAAGGTGAAAAACTGCATTCAGGAAATCAGTGAACTTGGAAGAGGTACCTGGGACCTCATGGATAATCAGCTAAATATGAGTCATCAGAGTAGGCTGTTGCTACAGCCCTTTGGGTGTATGATAAATGGAATTACAAGCAGAAGTAAAGAGTAGTTACTTAGGAAGCTGCTAATTCTGTCAATGTTTCAAAAACTTGAAGATTGAAAAAAAAAGGGGTTGTAATTCTACCCGTGTGGATTACATAAGAGATGTAACAAGGTCAATTTATTTTTCTTATCAATGAGGTTAAGAGGTGATTTGATCACAGCCTGCAAGTGCCCATCTGGAGATAAAATTTCTGGTAGTACCTGGCACTTCCTTCTACCAGATAGGAGCACAGCAAGATCCACCTGTGAGAAACTGTACCAGTTCCCACTGGAAATGAGGAGCCCATTTTACCAGTGGCAGCTATCAATCATTGTAAAAATAAGTAGGAACATTGTGAGTTCTCCAGCATTCAACACCTTTAAGTCAAGACTGGCAATCTTTAGTTGGGTGCTCTCACTTTCCAAGAATTTACACTCTTATTTTATTCATCCCAGATTTACAGAAACCTGTAATCTGTTATTTCTAACAGTTATTCAGATAGTTTCAAATGCTAGTGGTCTGTGTTGCACAACTCCTGATCCCACTTTATTTATGACCAAGGTGGAGGGAAATTTCTGGGTTTTTTCTGTGTACTTGACTTAATTAAGAAAATTACAACCAAATAAAATTACACAAAAATACCGCTGAGATTGCAAAATGAGCACTACAATTATGTATGGAACATTAGTCTATGCACTCTGTATCTGTGCCCTCATTTTCCCATGCATTAACATGCATGTCTTTGAGTACGTGATTGCTGATTTATGCAGTGAACAGGTGCAAAGTCCTGTCCACAAATCAAACTGGCAATGCCTGTACAACCCTTATTTTATTTGACAGTGAGAGATGTGTGGTAGAAGACAAAAGTGTACTATTTTTCTAACTAGATATCTAATTTATTAGTGTTATACAAGGGCTGCTTCCTGTGAAGAATATGGAAGAGAACACTTAACAGACTCAGTTTATTGCTGTGCTATACAATCATTTATACATCTGCAAATTAAGCACAATACGAGTGCAAGATGTAGCCCGATCATCATTTACAACAATGATTGATGCCAATACTTCACAGCCATCAATGCCTATACAAGGCACAAAGACTATCATTGGCATTGCTCGGTGTTGTCTGCAATGAAATTCCACAGGACAGGACAATCGTATCAGGCCCATGATCTCCAAGAAGCATAATTCAACAGATGCAGGATTGGACCTATAAGATGTATTATGCAGCAAAACCAACTAATAGAAGTATTTAATTACATGTTTATTTAAAAAAAAATGGAAATAGGTTTATGACATTTGAATCAATAGAACGTTTACGTTAGAAGTCAATTTTTATTAGAATTAGAAAATCTCCTATAAAGTCAAACTTAAGAAAAGAGTATGACCTATTTTCTTCAGAATCTACAGAAACATGTTTGGTAGTTATAATAATTCTGGAAATTTTCAGACAAAACTAATTTTTCACAATTGAATAGAGAAAAAATAGGGCTTTATAACGAAATGTTTCTGGTTGCAATCCTAACTAAAAGCAAACTGCTTCCACGTAATAATCTTGTAAAAACAAAATAAATATAAAAGAGATATTTTAACCACCCCTATGTTGAAAATGACATTATGGGAAAAAGTAAACCAAGAGTTATTGCTTCCCTTTACTTAATAATTTTAGATTTGTGTTTGTACAATCATAGAAAAGTCATTTTAGCTTCCCTAAGTTTTCCCATTTGGATTCTGTAGTTATTTGAACAGTTTAATATTTTGGCATGAACTGTTAAAAATAAGTTATTCTGTTGAATTATTCCTATAGGTTTTGGCAAAAAGAATCTTTTTACTACATGTATGGACAACATATGCATACGAGTAGCATGTGTCCCTGCCCTCATTCAGGATCTCAAGCCATTATGCTGAAGTAAATCATTGCTATTGCTATTATTTTACTTGAAAATAGATCAACTTTGATGACATGATATTTCATTACAAGTATTCCTGTCTAAATTTGAATTTATATGGAAAGTATCTTGGGCTGAAGTCTTCCCACTATTTACACCACTACGCTCGGGAGATCTGGTATGGTTTCAAGATGTTGTAGGATAACAAAGAGCAAAATCTCTTTGGGATTAAATTTGAAATTAATCTAAGATTTCTACACAATATATATGTCATTCTACACATGCCATAGTGTCATATACAATTAGGCATCCAGACCAAGTTAGTCATCTTGACTTTGCCTACAGTCAGCAGACAGAAATTAGTATCACCAGGAGAAACTCCCAGGAGGAAGCATGTCTTTGCTGCAGCACAAACTCTTAGGCTTCCTGATCGAGGCTGCAAGAACTCACACAAACTTCAGACCACCAGGAAACCTTCAAACAATATTAAGAAGATTAGTGTTCCTGAGCTTCATAAGTAATATATATATATATATTTACTTGGGATATTTGTATGTAAATATACATAAGTAAAAAAAAAAGTTATTTGAAACAAAATAGCTCCCCACAACCTTTTATTCTTTCAGACTTTCTTTATACTTGGTAGAGTGACATCAAGGAAGAAGTCAGTCGCATGTTCCATTGCTGACAACTTTTAACCTAGATAACTAATCAAACATTAAACTCCATCTTCCAATTGATATGAGTATGTTACTTTGACTAAATACCTTCACTTTCTTCACTACCGGTATTCATGTCCATACAGTTTAGGCTGTTATACAATTTTTTCAGGAGCAATAGGTCCTAAAGAATTTTTTACAATGCTCATACAATGTAGAGGAAATAGTTACTAATAGATATCAATACTGAGAACATTACCTACATTCTTCAAATCTTTTAAAATCTACCTAACACCATGTCATGGTTTAACCCCAGCCAGCAACTAAGCACCACGCAGCCACTCACTCACTCCCCCCCCACCCAGTGGGATGGGGGACAAAATCGGGAAAAAGAAGTAAAACTCGTGGGTTGAGACAAGAACGGTTTAATAGAACAGAAAAGAAGAAACTAATAATGATAATGATAACACTAATAAAATTACAATAGTAATAATAAAAGGATTGGAATATGCAAATGATGCACAATGCAATTGCTTACCACCCACCTTCAATGCCCAGTTAGTCCCCAAGCGGTGATCCCCCCACCCGCACTCCCCCCAGTTTATATACTGGGCGTGACATCACATGGAGTGGAATACCCCTTTGGCCAGTTTGGGTCAGCTGCTCTGGCTGTTTCAGTTCCCAACTTCTTGTGCCCCTCCAGCCTTCGGTGGCTGGGCATGAGAAACTGAAAAATCCTTGACTTAGTATAAACATTACTTAGCAACAACTGAAAACATCAGTGTTATCAACATTCTTCTCATACTGAACCCAAAACATAGCACTATACCAACTACTAGGAAGACAATTAACTCTATCCCAGCTGAAACCAGGACTCACCATTTATGTACTTTTGGGATATGCAAAAATATATAAAACTGACAAGCAGCTTATTTCATTCCCTACCAAGTATGTTTCATTAGTTGGTGCGGTTTGTATATTACTTTATTTTTATTTACTTTCCACAGGTCACACACTATGTTCCGTTCATGTTCATTCACTAAGACACTTACTGAATAATTTACTTTTCACTAATTGGTTTAATTTATCCATTGGCAGGTAATTCATACTCAGGATAACTATACTGACGCTGTACTAAGCAATTTGGTCAGTAGCAACTTCAGTTTTATGTGGAAATGTGGCTTACTTTATATATGTATTTCAGGACGTGATGAATCCCATCCAAGAAATAATACATGATAGTAAACAGGAGAAAAATAGACTTGAGACAGCAATATACCACAATCTTTCTCAATGAGTGTTACATTGCTTTCAAGAAACAATTTATTCCTTTCAGTATAAACCATTTGGACTTCAGCTCAGAGAGCATTTAGAGGTTATATTCACTTCCCTGTAAGTCAACACTCCAAACTGAGATTACGTCAGTATTTCTGAATTTCAGAGGATTGATTCTTTCTCATGTTGGCATGAAGAAACTTGCAAGCACTCTCATGAAATTCTCAGTCTCTGATACCTGCTTTTGTCCTAGCTGAATACATCAGATCAATTCATGAAAGTTATTACCTAAAGTAAAAGAAAAATTAAATAGACGTATTATACACATATCTTTTAATAGTAAATATATAAAAAGAAAAAGGTGTCTTGGATTATTTGGCATTTGGCTTATATCCCTCAATTCTGAGTATAATTATTTTGGTACAATCCAGCAGCTAGCTGCTGGAAGAGGTGGAAGGAGATTTTTCCTTTATGCAGATTGTTCCTGCAGCAGCAAGTATT